CGGACAACCGGAGGGGCTGAGCTCCGCCGCTGCCTCTGCCTCTCCCCTTCCCCTCCGGCCGGGCTGCCTTCTCCCGGGGCCGGAGGGCCGGAGCCGGCAGGGAAGGCCGTCCGCACTCGCCCTGCTCAGCCCACTTCAGCCGGCTGTGTGAGGGCAGGACATCCCCCTTCCCCAGCGCTCTCTCCCCTTCCCCACACAGGGTTCCGCCGCCTGAGGAACGGGCTTGGTCGCCCTCCACTCAGAGACACTGTGGGAGGGGGGCCCCTCTCCTCTGCGGCCGGGCGCTCTTTGCCGTCCCCCCCGCAGGTGAAGGGAGCAGTGCCCTGGCTGCCATGCCGGGGGCTGCGGCGTGGCCAGGCCTCTCCCCTGGGAGAGGGGAAGGATCCTCAGGTACCCTGCGGTGCCTGGCCGGGCTTCCCCTCCCAGGGCCTGTGTAACCCACCTGGAGGGAGGTGTAGGGTGGAAGGGTGGACCTTCTGCCGATTAGCCCAGGGGGATAGGTGAGTGTAGAGAGCTCCTCTAGGGTCGGGGAGATAGCCCCCCACACACCGTGGGGAGGTGGGTGAAAGGGTTCATTTTCCCTGCAGCCCGTGGGGATCAGTTCTTCAGGACCATGGTTATCCCGTGCAGTTATTGCTGCCTCTCCTGCTTTCTGTGTGGACATGCTCGATTCGTGGTGTAAAGCCAGTGGGAGTAGGGCCTCATGCATACCCAGTCCAGTAATTGCTGTGTTCATCATGATGTGTCAGTGTAATTGTGTGCAGCCCAAAAGAAAGGGTAGGAGTTAGTGGGCTGCAGTCTCCTCTGTGGTTTGTGTGTTCTCCCAAATCTGTTGCAGGCTTGGAAGATTTGTCCACCTCAAGCCAGAGGGTTATGGTCCCCCATGCCCTTGTGGAGTCATGTCTTTACACGTCTAATAAAGTTTTGGAGCTTGCTGCCATCCCAACACCTGTTTCATGGTTGATACATCAATATTACTCTAGAAATCAGCTTCCCCACACTCACACTGTAGCACACTTGTTGCTGCTGAAGTACATCCACGAGAAAGTTCACGTAATGCCTATGATTATGTGAAAAGCAGTGTTCAGTGTTGCTTGTGAATATGTCAGTATCTTATTGTGGTGTAAAATGCACCCTGAACAATAATCAGGAACCAACAACTCTTACCTTTCAGCACACCTCTTAACTCTCATTTCCCTAATCCATGGAGCAAAGAAGGTAATACAAGTGGAAAAAAAACCCCTTTATGTCTTCAAAACACCTTGTGAATGCTTTTAGTAACACTGAAAGTTGTCTCTACATTGTTCCTATCTAATCACACAAGCAGAGTGTGATTAGTATTGTTCTGAGACCTAGAAGCATTTCTATTACATTTGCTTTGTTGGATTTAAAATGTATCTTTTACACCATTGTGAATATTTGATGAATGGTGACCGTTAGGTAACGGCTGGGAGTTAGAGTAAATGCAGCAGAACAAAGGAAGAAACACTAGCTGAGAAATAGGTTTTTAATTATTTTTAAATTGTTGGGTGCTTAGTTTGGGAGGGATATGGGGATGTAGTTGAGCTTTAGACTGAGTGTCTGTAACCATGCTACCTTCTAGAATAATTGTTTTATCTTCTCATCTGAAAGCAAAGGCTGAAAAGGGTGGGGTCTTGCTTTGGTGACATAGGGAGGCACGCCAGGTTCTAGTAGAGTTGGGATGTCCAGGCATTCCAGTTCTGTTGCTGAGGTTGTGCTCTTTCTGCACGTTTTGACAAACAGGGTTTCATTCACAGCAATTGAGCATAGCACAGCCTCTTCATGAAGAGATTTGTTGTTGGGAGGTTCCTGACTTCACTTTGTCTCTTAATTGAGAATGAATCAGGTACAGTTTCTGTGACAAGGTCAAACTGAGCAAGAGTGTGTCTAGTGGCAAAGGTGGGCTGAATGAGGGGTTTTTTTTATAGAGTTAGCCAGCTGTTCCTGTAAATATGAAAACTTGTTTTTCTTTTAGATGCTGTTTTGGAGTGCTTAATGGTTGATATACCATCAGTTTTTTGGAACAGATTGCATGTGACTCTTAGGTAATTAAGTTTCTCAGCAGGGAGATGTTTGCTGGGAAAGAAGTTATTGATTTATGCTAACTTCTATTTACTTTTTAAAAATTATGCCACTTGTATTTGATATTTTCAGTCCCCTACATAATGCTAAAATGAATGATGAAAGGTTGGACTGTTTATACAGCAGAAGTGAAGTGCTGGAGCCTAGGACTCTTGAGTTGAGTGCTACTTTGGTTTATCAGTGGCCTTTTTTTTGTTTTGTTTTGTTTTTGTTTTTTTTTTTTTCTTTTATCTGAACAAAATGGTACCTTAGAAGAAGTCATGAAAATGCTACACAGAAGAATAAAAAGTGTCAAGATGGAATCCCATAAAATCCTTGGTGGAATTAGTGGTTTGTGCCTTTATTCGGAAAAAAAAAAAGTTGTATAGATTTCCTCTTGATATTTTTCTCCTGTTTTCACAGGAGAAATATTAGTATCAAAGAATGACAACTGCTTCACCAAGTGGATGCATTGTGCAAGAGGTCATTATTTACAGCTGCCAGCTTTATTGAACACTTCCTTACATTTCATCCTTATTTGTAAGTTTCTGATTTATTGCAAAGTGATGAAAAGATACCAGCTATGGAAATAGCCTCCTCCAGGCAGTTTAGCAGGGCCCCGACCCAGGAGCTCTGTTAAGCTCAATTCTACCTCTGCCTGGCTTTGTGATCTTGAAAAAGTCAATACACATTGCTCAGTTCTGGAAGATGAACTGGACAAGCTGATGGAAAAGAGAATCTGTGTTAGTAGATGATAGCCTGAGGAAAACATTTTTAAAAAGAAAAAAAACCCAAGAAAAAACCTTTTGAAGTGAGGAGGTTGTGTAGGGGGATCTTTGGAGACCTCCAGGAAAGTGTTCTGCTGGAGGGTGTGTAAATCTTGGGGGCAGGAGAAGGAAAGCAAGGCAGGCTGAAGCCCCGTTCTTTGTGCCATCTTGTTAGGCGTGCTGAGCTGCGTCGGTTAACGGTGTGGCTTGTGGGTCACAACCTACTCTAAGGAGATATTCTTGGTAGTGTTAAAGTGGTGATAACAAATATTAGGGATGCTGAAAAATACAGGCTTATGGGAAGCTCTTTGCTTCCTAAACAGAGAAAATTTGTTTCATTTTTTGTTTTTAATGTTGTGGCTTTAACAGACCTTTCATCTCTTGCAGTCTTTGAGAGGTTGAAAAAACAACTTAGGTTTGATGTTTTGTGTGCCATCAACTGAAATTGGGGCCATCATGAATATAACCAAGGGTGGACTGGTGCTGTTTTCAGCTAATTCCAATTCATCATGCATGGAACTATCAAAGAGGATTGCTGAGTAAGTAAAATCTTGCGTGAGAGCTGAGGATCTTGGTGTTACTATGATGGGACTTGCTTTCCTGAAGACTGATTTCTCTACTTCAGCAAAGTTGGGTAGGAGAACTGCCATGGTTTATAAGAATACCTAGTGTACTGTATTGCACAGTATATTTCAGCAGATCAATAACAGAGAAAATAACTTGTGTTTAGATTGTTTGGTGGCGGGTTGTGCTTGGCTGCAGTATGCTGTAGAGAACGTGTGGGAAAAGTAATGTTTGGATAGTGTTAAATAATCATGGCAGATGTTTTCATCATTTTCTCATTCTCCTTGTGGCAGAGTTTTCTTAGAAGGCAAAGCTGCTGTTCACTGTGTGTTTTAAATGGGGATATTTGTTTAGCTGTAAATGCATGAACAGCTTCAGCAGAGCTTGTCTGACTGAAGTAAATTTTGGCCATGCTGCTGGGGCAGTATTAGGATGCATAACATTATCAGGAGTATTGCGTGTGATGGGTTCCTTCCTGAGGCTTGTGTACGCAAAGTTACTTACAGATAGGAGGAGAATAGAGGGTGCAAAGGAGCATTGTAAGGACTTGTGTGTAAGTGCAGAGCACACTTGACTGTCTCCTTTTTTGGTGGTGGGGGTCTGTGCAAATACTGAAGTGGAACAGATGTAGCAGGCATTAGTCTTGCATTATTCATCAAACAGAACTCGCTGGTATTCCCTGTTCACTCTACGTTGACATTTTTTTCTATAGAGAAGAATGATTTAAAAGTGGTCTTTTAAATGTTGTGCATGTTTATGTTGCCATGTATATACACATATATGGCAACATATCTATAATGTATGTATAAATATATATATTAGATTATAAATTGCTACGTAATTTAGTAATCAAGCATTATTTCTTTCTGCTGCTTGTTCTTCTGAGCTTGACTTGAAAATGAGTTCATATCAGCCTGCAGTGCAGCTTCTGGAAATTGTAGATGCTTTGTTAAGAGATTTCCACTTCAATTACTGGTTTTATAGTTTGAGGTTTTCTTCAGTGAAATGTAGCCTTTTCAGTAGCTATTGTGTTGTATGGGCTTTGCATTTGTTTTGCCCTTCATTTTCCTGTACTGACTCCTGGTTTTCTTTTTTCTGCTCCTGCAGGCGCTTAGGAGTTGAGATGGGGAAGGTTCAGGTTTATCAAGAGCCAAACAGAGGTGAGCATTTCATTGACAAAACTGGAAACTTACCTATGGTGTGTGGGTATCGGCTACCCTTTTCTTAGACTCTATTGAGTTTCACTATTGCAAGTACTAAATATTTATTTTCTTGGCAGAAACAAGAGTGCAGATTCAGGAGTCTGTGAGAGGAAAGGATGTATTTATCATCCAAACAGTTTCCAAGTGAGTAACTGTTTAAAGACAGTGTGCTAGCATTTTGACATGGGCTGTCCATAGGAATGCTTCTGTTAATTTTTATTCACATTTTATGTGTATGACACCGTATAATAAGCTTAGATTAACTAGATAGAGGCTTCTCTTTTTGGGGTTTTTTTGGTTGTTGTTTTTGTTGGGCTTTTTTAATTAAAAAAAAAGATTACTTCAGTATAAGCTAACCTCTGTTATTTTGCTTTTCAGTGAATATGTCAATGAAACTTTCTCCGGGTCTCTGCATTCTTTTGCTTATGTCATTCTCTTTAAATTCCTCCCTTTGAGCTCCCCTGTCTCCAGCACCATTACAAAGTTCTAAATGTAGAAGGAGCATTTCTTAGGCAATGTGTCCTGTGACAGAAAACAACTTTTTTTTTAATGTGAAAAAAACTTTACAAACACTATAGATGTTTTTTCTAATGGCGACAGAAATAGAAGGTCTCTTAGTTCATGATCAGTTCTCATCTAAAAAAAAATCTTTCAATCTTTTCATTTAGGGCAGGAAATAGATGGTAATTGTTAAATATTTAGCGCACTGTTGGCTTGAGCAGTAGAGGAATATGTTGTAAAGTCTGAAACTTATTTTTTTTTTTAAAAAAAAAAGCTTACCTATGTTGAAAAATATCTGTTTTGCACGTGATAGAAATAGATGTTGGAGATAAATTATGGAATACTTTGTTACAGCAACATGCTGTATTACTAAAAACCTAAAAATGGTGTAAGAAAATCTGCTGAATTGCCCAAACTAGCCAAGTGAAAGAAATAGTGACGTGTAATTCCAGTGAAGAATTAAAACGCTGGGTCCAGGGCATTTGGTGTCCTGAGGTGCACAGCGGGATTGTTGGTGCAGATCGCTCACTCACCATACTCTCTACTGCCCTGGAGTGGGTTTAGATGCTGTGTTGAGAACAGGATTTTTATGCATGAGATACAGAACTAGATGCTTCTCGTTCCAGAGACGTGAACACTACGATCATGGAACTCCTGATCATGGTGTACGCTTGTAAAACCTCCTGTGCCAAAAGCATTATTGGAGTGATTCCTTACTTCCCGTACAGCAAACAGTGCAAGATGAGGAAAAGGGGCTCCATTGTCTCTAAGCTACTGGCTTCAATGATGTGCAAAGCTGGTAAGAATGCAGGTTGTTATGAAATAATCAGGGCAGTGGGGGCTCCTGCTGTCAGCTTTCAGGTTTAAAGAGGTCTGTGCACAAATTGGGACTTGGTTTAAAAATAACTGCCAAATTTTTTGTGAGTCTAATACCCACATAGAAAAGAGAATTTAATCAGAAATATTTGCAAATTATGAGTTCATAAAAACATCAAACCTGTAACAGCCATTTTACATTGTGCTCTGCTGAGCTGGCAAAATGAGCCTGCTGGACTGCTGCTTTGGGCCGTGGCACCCATCCCTCATAATGCTGTTCTTTGCCTTTTTAACACTCTTCAGCAGTTGTGCTTTGTAATTTTTAGTCTGTTTTTTACCTGTTGGATGAATGCACTTCGTATTTGTCCTTCACATTTGAGATGATGTGGGAGAATGAGATGATTCATTTTCACAGCCTTAACACATTTTCTGCTCCTTTCCTTTTGCTCCTGTCCCTGGGAAAAATGGGCTGTTACAATGAACACAGTGCGATCTGGTTTCCTGTTTTGAGACAAGTGTTTTTGATTATTAGAATTTGGGCCCATTTTTCAGGAGTTTAGGACTCTCGTATTAGCTGCACCAGGGTCTTGCTACGTGGCATAGGACACATTTTTATTATTGCTTCCATTTTGTCGCGTGTCGAATGGAAAAGGATCTTAACCTGCCTCAGTGTGGCACTACTGAGTCAATTATGTGGCGTTCTGAGGTCCTTTTAAAAAGGACTGGGTAGAAATCTCAAATCGTGATAATGCTGGTGTACTTAGGAGGGACATAGTTAATATTCTATGTTCTTTCACAACATGTAGTATTCTTGTTCTAATGCAGCTTAGAGATTTTGTTCTGGACAAACTTAATTTAAACTTACTAGAGAAATAAAAAGCGTGTCTGTTCTCTCTTACTTTTCTTGATGTGTTTCTCCATCTGTCTTGTTGGTTTTTTTTTTTAAAGGACTAACTCATCTTATTACTATGGATTTACATCAGAAGGAAATACAGGGCTTCTTCAATATTCCAGTTGATAACTTGAGAGCATCTCCATTTTTACTACAGTACATCCAAGAAGAGGTGAGGAAGGCCTGCTATTACAGTTGCTTTTTTAAATTATTTTTGGTCATGTCTCAAGGCTTCTGAAACAAATTCTCATGAAAAGGCTAACTCTTGAAACAGCGTTTCAAAGGGGGAAAGATAATGTTGGAGCAAGGAGTGGTGTTGGGGCATTTGGTTCTCTTCCCCACAGGCTTAAGTTTTCCTTTCCTGAAGAGCTGGCATTTTCTTATCCATGCAGTGTTCTGTCTTAGATATAGTCCCCTAACTAGTATTAAAAAAAGAAGAGGATTTTCTTGCCCTTGGTATCCTCTTCCTTTCCTATTTCAAATTTCCTTGACATTTATAGGATGGGCTGCGTGTGTAGGTGTAATTTGTATCACATTATGAAAACACTTGGAAGTTAAGTTACAGACCATGAGAGCCTACTCTAAGAGTAAGAACAGATGACTTAGGGTGTGAAAAGTCTTCCCGTGCTGTTTGTTCAGCGTGTCTTGACTTGAGGAGCTTAACTTCTGATGTTCTGTGTGTCCATTTCTCCAACTTATTTTTATAAGTGCTTTGAGAAGTGCTACTGGTAGATTCATATAAACAAATTGTGCAAATGATAATTGTAGGTATAAGATGCATATTATGCTGCTGACTAATGATAATTTGTAATAAAGCAAGTGCGTTCTTCCTGGTGAAAGAAAAGGTGTAGCTCACTCTTACTTTTGAATCCAAGCTATTTCTTTTTATAGATATATGAGTGCCTTGATTTAAAAACAAATAAACACACCCCCAGAAAACCCCAAACCAGCACGATTTTGTTATGACAGTGTTAAAATCTGTTTGGAGAATCAGTTACCATTTGAATCTGTCGTTATAATTTCATTTGGTACTAGAGTCAGAGGGTGACAGAAAAAAACTCCAGGCTCTGGCTTTGCCCCAGTCATTCATCTTGTATACCAGGAGAGAGGTATTGCACATTATAAGCACTTCATAAGTTAAAAAAGAAAAAATGTGGGAAACCAAATATGCAGATAACATGGCAAGTTATGCCTTTACGTGTTGCTTGAAGGTATGGATTGCAGTTGATAAGATGATCATGTTCCTGGTTTAGTTTTGAAGCACATTTTCATACATGAGCTCTTAATGGTTTACAGAGAATTGTTGCATCTTTGAGTCTGGTACTGCTGTACAGTCTAACAGATGAATGTTTGTGGAGATCTGCTGAAGTATGTGTAGAAAGGTCTTAAAAGATCCTTTCAGTTTTTCATTTCTTCATTCCTCTGCTTGTCCATGAGGTGACTCGGTAAAACTAAGGTTGACTGAATGTGTCTGATCACATGGGATCTATAGTGGCAGGTGCCTTCACCAGCCAGGCCATATCAAGAATCTTTTCTTACCAATTTCATCCAGTGCTGCTCAGGAAGTATTTATCTCAAGTTCATGGTGGCAGCAGCTTGCTGTAAATCCTGCATTGTGAATGCCAAGGCATGAAAAACCTTTCAAGTGGGAGTTGTGATGGGGTGTGTGGAATAGCATGAAAGAGAGTCCAACTTGATAAGGCTGGAGGTCACTTAAAAAAGCATTTAACTGAAAGTAAAGAGGATGAGGTCTTGTAGGTGTTCCCTGTTGGGAGTGAAGAGAATTACTTGGTTTTCTGGGATGAAGACAGTCTAATCAGTGAAATTAATGTGATATAAAAATAATTGAGTGGTTTTCCTTTGTATGCTTAGCGAATGTTCAATACTTAGGGTTTTCTCTCTTTCCTGTGTGTACATGTTAATCTTAGAGTGACGTAGCTCTTGGCTAAAAGGAGTTGTTGATGTCTTACTAGCTTTTGGATGACATCTCTGGCTTTCTGACTTCATATTTAAAGAGCTGAGAACAAATTTGATAATTTGGCAGGAGAAAAAGGCAGTGATGTCTGAACAAGATCAAAGCCTTTATTATGTCAAGTGACAGGCCCTGCCTTGTCCGTACCTTCCATCACGTTAATCTTTACAGCCTGTTGTATAACTAAGAGTTTGTAAAGGACAGAACATGCTGAATTCCCAGTGTTATAGGTGGAGTTAGTAGCATTGCAGATTGTTAATACTGCCTGACACGTCCTCAGAAAAGCTCTTGTTTTTAGTTGGTTAGGACCATGCCCAAATTCAGAACTTGCTTTTTTTCTTTCCCCTGCCTATTTCAGGTAGAGTGCTTTTGCAAATACTCAGCAAATGTGGTTTGCATGTTTGAGGATAAGATTGTGGAAGAACTTACCTTGCTTGTGTTTGAAACAAATCAAGTGTTTCTGTGGTTTGGAACTGGTATTTAACATCTGACAGCAAGGTGATGAACTATATGTCGGGGTAGCATCCCCCCAAATTTGTGAAATTACGACTAACAGATCAACTTGCAGGTATTTAGTAAAGAGTCTTCTGTCGCTTAACACTGGGCTTCTGAGGATTGGATCTGCTCTGTAGGACTTTGCTTGATTTTGCAACTGAGAGTGGTGGCGCACTATTATTAACCGCAACTGATAGGAAGACAGGTTCTCTGTATGCTGCTCTGTGACAGACAGATTGTCCCTGGGCAGCACAGTGAAGAAGAATGCTGAGTTTGCAAGGAGGGGGTTAAGAGATTTTAGAAGGAACGTGGATTGCTCTGTTGGACTGGAAGGGTGAACGGTGGAATGCTTGAAATTATGGACAGTGAAAGACGAGTCTGATGTGGAGGGAAAGTGGGGACTAGGATAAGAAGTTTTGAGAGATGGGGACTAAAATGCTGGCTAAATGGAGAGAAGGGAGTCTGGATGAAAAGGCAGTATGAGAATGGGGCAAGGGCAGCAAACTTTGGAGTAGGCTGTGCTTGTGAAGACTGGCTGATGTACCCGTCAGACCTTGAAATGAACCCCAGACTCCTTGGCCTTACCACTTTGCTGCTGTTGGCATTTGCAGCAGCATCCTCTAGTGCTGATCTGAGTAGAAGACAGTTTGCAGCGATATTAGGCTTTGACCCCAGGTTCAGTGCAGCGAGTGTGGAATTTTTATCCCTTTTGATGGTCCATATAAAGAGTCAGTGTGATGTGATGAAGAGGTGTTAGGTTTTTTTTGTGTACTTTGAAAAGCAACCCTGAACCTAGGAAATAGATGGAATACCATGTTTTCAAGTGATTAAAGACTGCCATGTGCTTGCACAAGACAACTTCAGTTGAACAGGAAACTTTAATTTTGATAGTTTCCTGTTTCTTTTAACACTTGTCCATGTAGCCCTGGTGTTCTTCTAAAGCAGTTACTTTTGTGTAATCTGTAATATAATATGGTGTTTTCGAAGTAGAATTTAAGTTAAAATCTGAATTTTCATATTTCCTGTTTACTGAGCTGTGAACTCTGGTCATGTACCATGGATTCTTGAGGTTGCTTTCTTATATTAGGTAAAATATTCGATGCTTGAAATTCTTCTGGCAAAATAAACTTCTTTTGATTCTTATTGAGTTTCAATTTGTCTAAAGATATGAAGTGGACATTGCTATCTGTTATTTACTACAGATACCAGACTACAGGAATGCTGTAATTGTGGCCAAATCACCTGCGTCTGCAAAGAGGTGGGTAAAATCTGCTCTCTTGTGTTAGAGCAGGAAATCTCTGTCGTGATTTTGTTCTTAGCATCAAGTGAAGGACAAATATCCAGAAATTAGAAGATGCAGCCTTCAAATCCCTACCACTTCCATTTTGTCAGATATGTAGTTTTTACATCATTGCTATAGGAATAATAAATCCAAAGAGAGTAAAAAACAAACACAAGGATGAGGTATATCAGTACAGTGCTTAGGATAAAGAGGGTATTTAATCATATTATATTTGTGTGCATTGAGATTATAAATTTCCTGCTGTAAATGAAGAAAAATGTCTGGAAGTATAATGCCATTAATCCAAAGTAATTGCTTAACATGCTTATAACTTAGAACATGGTTGATCAGATCCTAAATACAGATGGCTTCCCATCTAGCATGGTGAAACAAGATTTGATATCTGAGATGATATTAAGAAGTCCTTGTTGGCTGACTGACTGTTCTTAATCCACATAGCATTTTGGTGGAGTGTACCTAAACTCTCTGGAATTACAGTGCTCTCAGAAGGTGGTGTTAAGAGTTGGATGATGGTTTGAGAGACTGTATTTACTGTGGTGACAAACCAGTAGTTTGTTGAAAAATTATTTAGGCTTTCATGCCAAGGAGTCGCGATATGTGTTGTAAGAAAGGGTTTTGTTATTTTATATAGCAAATGAGAAATACTTTAATTTGTAGAAGTATAGTGAGGGGAACAACTTTTATCATCTTTGTTTTCCAGCAGTACTTTTTATGTGATTTCTTTGGTTTTGACCAGTTATTTTACATTTGCTTGTCTCTTACTGTTCCTTTTACTTGGTATCGGTATTGCCTCTTGGGTGTAGGCAGGCATTTGTTGAAGCATTTTCGTGCTTGTCAAGTAATTGTGCATGCCAGCAAATAGTCTAGGCATACCTTTAACTGATGAGACAGATAAGTTGCATACGTAACCAATTAGTGTAGGAGAGGATCCCAGAGCTGTATTGTTTAGCCTCTTCATGTGCACATGTGAGCATTTAGGAGCAGTATTTGAGGAGGTACCTTGTATTTGGAAAAGGGTGTTTGAATGTTGCAGCCTAAGCAAGGAAAACACTTTTCAGATGAATGACTACTGGTGAAAGAGAGCCTTTGCTTGATGAAGTTCAGAATGTTTTTGTGGTTTCTGAGCTCACTGGAAAATGAGTGAATCATTTTACTGTTGCTTTGAACTTTACTCAGTTTAGTATTGCATTTTGAAGTAATTATTACGGTTTTGTTGATAGGATTGTGCCTTCTAAGTTTTATCTCTTAAATGTTTGGAATCATAATTTATCTGTAATTAACTACTTGAAAAAATATCCTAACTGTATGATAACCACAGGGCAGAAGATTCTTCATTTTTAATTAACTGAGCATCACGATGGACAAATTATTCTCTGGACTTTGAGTTGTTTGGATAGTGAAACGAGGCTTAAGTGTAAAGGAGGTGATTCAGGCCACAGGTCTTAGATGCTAATATTAGAATAAAGTGACTCACTCTGGACATGCCAGGCTCACTTTGACCGGGAGACTAGATGGCTGGCTTAGGCTAGATCCTGAACTCTTGGGGTGTACAAGATAAGGTAGGATGAATCTGCTAATTTTTACTTGCTTCCAGTATCTGGGATACAAGCACTGTCTGTGAAATTCCTGTTTTCCTGACTCTCTGCTTTCCCTGCTCCCCCAGCTAACCTTACACTTTTTCTTTACATAAATTTCTCATTTTAGTTGAAGAAATAATGCATGGTGAAGGAACTTTCTGTAAGCTTGTAAAAATCCAGGCTGTTTAATGTTGGAGTGTGGTTTGTCAGGGAAAAGGTTCATCTGGATTCTCTTCTCTGTAGGCTATCTAAGGTTATGTGTCAGAAGGTCAGGGATATTGGCTTTATTTAGTGTGGCTAAAATTAAATAGGTGAACACTTGTTTTCTGTTTAATGTGAATAGATTTTTTCCTATTAAATGTAGACATGCAGACTGGTCTTGATTACTGTTAGATGGGTCCTGCTAAAGCATGGGATCTGAAGAATGTTGAAGGCTGGGAAATTTTTTTTGACTGTTGGGAAAACCAGAAGGAAGTAATCAGGATTATGTGACTTGCAGGATTTGTCCTGTTGCTTCAAGGCCAGTGTAGATACTTTCAAGGTGATTCTGACTCTCACAAGCCTGGTGAAAACAAGATACTAAGGGGCAAGTGGTCTCTTCTGTGTTTTCCTAAAATTTTAGGATCATTCCATTTTTCCTCTGAAACATCAGAAATAAAATGGAAATAGATTAGGATTGTCCGTATGTGAATTATTTTAAATTTAATGTATTTCTATATATTTTTTTAACCCTTTCC